GAGCATCGCTAACGAGCGCGGGAGCGGCTGTCAGCTCCCATCGGCCGCAGCCTGGCCGAGTGGCAGACGGGGGCACGGGCACAGCTGAGCCCCTCCTCGGGCACCTCAGCCCCTTCTGCGGGTGACAGCGGGTGACAGCTGCTGTGCCCCGCTGCTGCCCCCGCGCCGGGGGCTGAGATGAGGGGGGCATGGAGGGAGAGGATGGAGGGGCTGAGGGGGTGGGTGGATGGAGGGGATGGAGGGGCAGTCAAATGCATGGGTGGGTGGAGGCATAGATGGATGGAGAAGATGCAATGATAGCGGGATGGGCAGATGGATAGATGGATGGAGAAGGTGGAGGGGTGGATAGAGAAAAAGGATAGAGGGGGTGGATGGCTGAGTGGATGGAGGCAGAAGGAAGGCAGGTGGATGGACATGAATGGATGGATGGAAGGACAGAGAAGGTGGAAAGGCAGATGGATGGAGAAGATTGTGGAGAGGATGGAGAGCTGGATGTCAGAGCTGATGGATGGAGGGGCAGGTGGAGAAGGCAGAGGTGCAGATGGATGAAGAGAATGGATGGATGGATGGATGGATGGATGGAGAGGATAGAAGGGGAGAGGGATAGAGAGGATGATGGCATGGCTGGGGAGGATGGAGAGCCAGCATGGATGGAGAAGATGGAGGGGCAGATGGAGAAGATGGAGGGACAGATGGAGAAGACAGAGGGGCAGACGGACAAAGAGGAGGGAGGGAGGGATGGAGAACACAGAAGGGCAGAGGGATGGAGAGGATGATGGTGTGGCTGGAGAGGATGGAGAGGTGGATGGCTGAGCAGATGGATGGATGGGTATATCAGAATGAAAGAGGAGGTGGGGAAGATGGGGCAGGCAGGAGGAGATGAGGAAAGGGGTGTCACAAGGTGGGGATGATGGGACAGTGACTGGATGGATGGGAGAGGTGGCCCAGCACAGGCAGGGCTTCCAGCCTGGCAGGACAGACCAGGCCACCCCACGCGGGCACCAGCAATATCACTGCGGCTGGGCGTTCCCTGGTCATGGGGTGCTGCAATGGGGACACCAGTGGAGCAGCCAGTCTGGGACTGGGGTCAGCTCCCCGCACCTGCCAGCTCCAGCCTATCTGGGGCTCCCCTGCACCGTGGGGCACAGGGTGATACATGCAGAGACCTGGGGCTGGGGGGTGGGGTGCTGAGGAGGGAAGGGGTGGGATGGAGACTGTGGTCACCCCGCTCTGCATGGCTCAGGAGACAAAGATGGTCAGGGGCATCCGCATCCTCCCCAAGCATTTTTCAGGGTGGGGAACCCCAGGGGGCTGTGGCTGGGACCCCTCAAGGCCAACACTGGGTGCAGGGAGCATGGGGGGCACAGGGGAGCCCCCAAACAGTTCCCAGCTGCCCCAAAGATGGGGCGGAGCGGAGCGAGGGGAAGGG